CTAGCTAATACAATTGCAGGTAGGTCACTAATGAGGAAAAATGGGCCCAGCACTTACCTAGGTACATTTTGGGGTGAAACATTGTAACAAAACTGTTAAAAACAAAAAAACAAAAACCTCTAATCATTTTGTTGCTTGTTCAGATTCTGCCAAATGCACCCTCATAGATTTGGAGCTGGAGCTCTGTATATAAAATATAAACATAATTCACATAATTATGGATTTTTTTTTTCTTGAAAGGAAGACTGCTCATAGTTAGCCATTGATCCAGTAGTATTGACTCATCATTGTAATGTGAGGAGGCAATCACTGGCAGAGAAGCTCCTTAGTAACTCAGACCTTCAGTGTCGCAATTTTTGCCTTAATAATTATTGTCAAGTTTATAAATAATCCCTATAAGTTAAACAAGCAAAAGTTTTACTTTGGTTTATTAAAGTCTTTAGTTGCAGTAAACCTTATTTATATGTATAAATTATTCAAATGCCTGGAAATGCTGAGTTATGAATCATATTGCATTCAAATGTCTGTAAGACTTTTGTTTCATATTAAAAACATTTTATTAAGGAATTAATTGTGCTATACTTATTTCAGGGGTTATAGTCAAGAAGTAAATTTAATTTGAAGTACATTTAGAAATGTAACAGATTATGTAAAGTAAGTAATTTTCAAGTTAAAATTTACTATAATTTCCTACCACATAATGATTACAGGTTACAGCCATCCTAGGTGTGTTAAGATAACACATCTGTCTTTTAGGCTCAAGTTGTTCATTTCAGCCATGGTTACTTGGGCACTATAGAATTTGGAGTTATGGTAAAGTATGCACTGTTATTTTATTTGCAGCATTAATATGTTTTAAAGGATTACTACATGGTTATTTCTCCTATAAACATCACTAAATTTTTTAAACTTCCTTAATTACTTTCTAAATGTGAGTTGGATATTTATTTGGGTAAATTAAGTTTTTTTAAATTTTTTTTAATGCTTCTAGGATTTTTGGTCACTTGAGACATAGGAGAGATCCCTGAGAGAAATAATAATATTCCTACTAATTTATACAAGTGAAGGTTCAAGTAATTAATTTGAATTTTAAAAGATGTAACATCACTTGTATTCCAAACAGTCTTATCTGGTTATAAATAAATAAAACTAAGCAATGGTTTAAATACACGCAGGTAAAAAACAATTATGGAAATAAAAAGTATTAGTAGAAGGTCAAACACTGAGGAAAAATAATGGAATTATCTATTCACAACGGTTTATATGGTTTATATAACTGCTAGACCTGAATCTCAAATTTAGTTCTAGGATTTCTGTCAGCCAAACTGAAGAGTAAAAACAGTATAGTTTACAAGATAGAAGAAATATATCAGCTCCTCAGTAGAAACTAAGATCTTTGCCTTACATTAACATTTTTAAACATTTTAATTGATAAATATAACGTGTGTAGAAAGTGAACAAAATGTACAGCTCGGTAGATTATCACAAAACAAATACTTTTGTAATTAACAACTAGAACATGAAAATAAAGCCAATAAATACATGAAATTCTCTCCTCCCTCTGTCCACTTCTAATCACTGTCCCTTCCCCCTCCCAAAGGTAACTATTATCCTGACTTTTGTGGTAATTATTCCTAGATTTTTCTTTATCGTTTTAACACTAAAGCTTACATCTCTATACAATATAGTAGAATTTTGCCTGATGGAATTTACATGGGATTATTTAATATTATGGAGGAAGGTTGGGAGGTCTAGCCTTTTTTGCTCAACTTTGTGAGATTTATCCATGTTGTTGCACAGAGTTGTAGTTTTCATTTTCATTGCTATTTTGTTGTGTGAATATAGTTCAATATATTTATCACTCTACTATCAAAAAGCATTTGGTCCACTTACAGTATGAAGTAATTTTGAATTGAATTTTACTGCTAAAAGCATTTTTTATTTTTTTATTTTTTATTTTTCTTTTCTTTTTTCTTTTTTTTCTGTTGCCCAGGCTGGAATGCAGTGGCACAGTCATGACTCAGAGCAGCTCAACTCCTGGGCTCAAGTGATTCTCCTTCCTAACAGCTGGGACTACAGCCATGCACCAAAATGCCCAGCTAATTTTTTCTATTTTTTGTAGAGATGGGTTTTCGCCATGTTGCCCAGGCTGGTCTCAAACTCGTAGGCTCAAGCAATCCACCTGCCTCGGCTTCTCAAAGTGCTGGGATTACAGGCATAAGCCACTGCATCCCACCAAAGCATTTTTATAAACTGCATCTTGATGAACAAGTCACATATTTAAACAGAGAATATTCCTCAGAGTGGGACTGCGAGATCAAAAACTGTTTTTGAAAGTGGTTGTGCCAAATTATACTCTCACCAGCAGTACATGACAGCTTTCATTGGTGTACTTACCTATATTGTCAGTCTTTTTAACTTTAGCCATTCTGATATGGTTTTCATTTGTATTTTCTTGATTAAAAATGAATCTGATTTTTCCGTAAATTTGTTGATAATATTTTATCTTGTGAAGATCCTGCTCAAGTGTCTCATCCACTTTGGGTTTTGATGGTCAATCATTTCCTTAGTGATTTGTATCAGTTCTTCATATAACCTATATATGGGCCCTTAAATATATCTTATAAATATTTTCTCCCAATTTGTGCCTTGCCCTGCATTCTCTTTAATGTTGTTTTTCAATGGACAGAAGTTCTCAAATTATTAATTTTATGTAGTCACATTTGTAATTATGCCTGGTGATCTTTGTTTTATTTTAAATACATTCTCTGTCATGAAAACAATTTATACCTCCTAAAACATTATTTTATCTTTTCCAATTAAATTTATAATGAATATATATGCACCTGATTTGGGGATAAAGTTTTAGGTAAAAGTCATGTTTCTTTCTTTTTCTACGTGAATATCAAATAGACCGAGCACTATTTAATTTCAAAGTCCTTTTACCATTGCTCAGGAGGGTCACCTTTGTCTTAAATCGTGTTCATTTATATGGAATTCTGTTCCTGTGCTATCCCGTTTCTTTCATCTTTGTCCTGTCACCATCATAACAGTCTTAATTACCATAACTTTACATAAGTCTTGATACCTGGTAGGTATCCACCCTCATTATTCTTCGAGGATCTTCAAGAGTTTATTGATATTTTTGGTCCTTTGCATTTTCATATAAATTTTAGAAAAAACTTGTCATGTTACACCCACACACACACACACTGGGCCTTCGTATGTATTTATGTTGAATCTATAGGTCAGTTTGGAAATAGCTGACATTGTAACATATTGAGTCTCACAACCTATGAATATAGTATAACCATTTATTTAGGTCTTCATTTTCTTTCAAAAAAATTTTTTTTTTTTTTTTGAGACAGAGTCTTGCTCTATTGCCCAGGCTGGAGTGCAGTGGCATAATGTCGGCTCACTGCAACCTCCACCTCCCACGTTCAAGCAATTCTCTGCCTCAGCTCCCGAGTAACTGGGATTACAGGCGCCCGCCACAACGCCTGGCTAATTTTTGTATTTGTTTTATTTATTTATTTAGAAACGAAGTCTCCCTCTGTTGCCTAGGCTGGAGTGCAGTTGCGCCATCTCGGCTCACTGCAAGTGCGGTGGCGCAATCTCGGCTCACTGCAACTTCCGTCTCCCGTGTTCAAGCAATTCTCCTGCCTCGGCCTCCCCAGTAGCTGGGACCACAGGCACATGCCACCAGGCCCAGCTAAATTTTTTGTATTTTTAGTGGAGACGGGGTTTCACCATGCTGGCCAGGCTGGTCTTGAACTCCTGACCTCGTGATCCGTCTGCCTCGGCCTCCCAAAGTGCTGGGATTACAGGCGTGAGCTATTGCGCCTGATCTCAAAAATGTTTTATAGTTCTCACTGTAGGAAGGACAATCTTTAACTTATTCCTAGTTACTTGCTATCTCATGTACTATTATAAATAGTATCTCTTTAAAACTTGAATTTTATATTTGTTGCCAATCTAGTGAAACACATTGACCTTTGAATATTGACTCTGTATCCAGCAACTCTTAAATTAATTTAGTAATTTTTTCTACTTTCTTTTGGATTTTTCTATGCACATACCATCTATGAAAAATTAGCTATATTTCCTTTTCTTGACAAATTCGAAGACCCTCAATAATCTGAATCTGACTAACGTGCAATTTTCATTATACATTCAATAAAAAGCTATTAGTGTATTCAATCTCCTTTCCATCTCACAAGCTCCCACTCTCAGTTTACGCTGACCTGACTACTACACCTGCTATCCCCACCAGTCTAGAAGAATTTGAGCCCAGACGCTCCTCCAGAGCAGCCTCCGGTCTCGGCTGCGGAAGTGCGCACGCCCTCGGCACCTTTACAGCTCCGCCCCTCTCCGGGACCCAGCCAATCAGCGGCCGCCTCTTGCGCGCGCCCCACCGGCCAAAATGGCGGCTGCCGTTGGTGCTGAGTCCGGTTTGTAGTGCTGTTGCCCTACTCATCCCTTTCCAAAATGTGAAAGAAGAAACGGCTGGTGGAGGCGGGCCATAGGCAATGAGTCGGCGACGGAAACATGATGACAGCCCTAGCCCGAAGAAAACGCCGCACAAAACCGTGGCGGTTGAGGAATGCGGCTCGGTGGTCGAGCCAGGGAGGAGGCGGCTGAGGTCGGCCCGCGGTTCGTGGCCCTGCGGAGCTAGAGAGGGGCCTCCCGGGCCAGTGCGGCAGCGAGAACAGCCTCCAACAGCCGCCTTGTGCAGTAAAAGTAACCCCGAGGGTGAGACGTCGGCAGCGCGGCCTGCCTTGGCTTCGGCGCCACATCCCCACAGCCCAACTTACAACAGGGAAATCTGGGGTGGGGGTGGAGTCTGGAGTGTGTATTGTGTCTCTGGGATTCACCCCTCGAGAGTCCAAAAATACTCCTATACCACTCTCCGATGGGCTTCTGTCCCCGAGCTTGAGCACTACCCCGTTAGGTTTGACCATCCACTTGCCTCCGCCACAGGAATAGGTCATGTGGTTTACCTGTTTGCGGGAGGGCGGCTGCTTTCCAGGCTGCTCCTCGGGTCAGCAGCGGTGGCGGAGCGAGGAGGAAGAGCTGATAGGCCCGCTAACCTCAGTTTATGCTCGGAGAAATTATTTCTGGTTAAACCTTGTTTCCCCCCTGCCCCCCCACCCCCCCCCCCGAACCTGCTTTAAAAAAAAAGTCCATAGAAAAAAAAAAAAAAAAAAAAAAAAAAAAAAAAAAAAAAAAAAAAAAACCGGAAGTTGCTGTCTGTAACATCCCTCCAAATAAGATACTAAGGATCCCTTTCGTCACTATTAGTTTTGGGTGCACTTTTTGAAAGACTTCTAGTAAATCTTAGTTGGAATTGAAACTCATACAAAAGCCTTTATTCTGGAGCATGTTCTTGAAATAGTGCTTTTTTTAACCTTACATTTTTTTTTTGTTTTCGTTTTTTTTTGAGAAGGAATCTTGCTCTGTCGCCCAGGCTGGAGTGCAGTGGCGCAATCTCGGCTCACTGCAACCTCCGCTTCCGTGGTTCAAGTGATTCTCCTGCCTCAGCCTCCCAAGTAGCTGGGACTACAGGCGCCCGCCACCACCCCCGGCTAATTTTTTGTATTTTTAGTAGAGAGGGGGTTTCACCATGTTAGCCAGGATGGTCTGGATCTCCTGGCCTCGTGATCCGCCCGTCTTGGCCTCCCAAAGTTCTGGGATTACAAGCGTGAGCCACTGCGCCCGGCCACCTTACATGTCTTTAATACTCCCATAAAGCAATTCCGGAATGAACAAAAATCTTCATAAAAATTTGAAAGTTGGCCGGGCGCGGTGGCTCAAGCCTGTAATCCCAGCACTTTGGGAGGCCAAGGCAGACAGATCACAAGGTCAGGAGATCGAGACCATCCTGACTAACACGGTGAAACCCCGTCTCTACTAAAAAATACAAAAAAACTAGCCGGGCGAGGTGGCGGGCGCCTGTAGTCCCAGCTACTCTGGAGGCTGAGGCAGGAGAATGGCGTGAACCCGGGAGGCGGAGCTTGCAGTAAGCCAAGATGGCACCATCGTACTCTAGCCTGGGCGACAGAGAGAGACTCCATCTCAAAAAAAAAAAAAAAAAAATTGAAAGTTATTCTAGACAAAAATTCCCAAGCATTAGCTCACTTACGCTTTTTGAAGAATCGCAATTAATGTAGATTAGAGCTGGTGAAAAGGGGCTAAACATATTTAGGTTTCTGTTGGGTGACTTTGGATTTTTTAATGTACCTATAAACTACAGATGGTTCCTCAAAGCCTCCAGGTCTCAGTGATAATAAATAGAATGACTTAGGTTATACAGTATTGTATTATGCATTCATAGAGCTGCTGGATTATCTAAAAGTGCTTGCTATTTACAATGTCAAGTTTGCGAAGTGCTGCATGGATTTTTATATGAAACAAGCATTTCAGTTATGGTTCAGGTAATTATCTCTGGGAAAAAAATTATATTGGACTATGAAACTTAGTCTAAGCTATTATTTGACCCTGGGTTCTTATGAAGTAAGATAATGCTTTAAAATGCCACAATTGTTATTTTACTCATATTTTATATAGACAGGTATGAAACACCAAAGAGAGTGCTGAAAATGGACTTACTGTCATCTTCCTTCAGTTCTCCTAATGATCCAGATGGACAGAATGATATCTTTTGGGATCAGAATTCTCCATTGACAAAGCAGTTAGGTAATTCATTATTAACATTATTTATGTGAGTAAATGTTTGATAAATGATTCAGATTTAACTAGAATTCTAGTCAGATAATAGCATCAGGAACCTCTGAGAATCTACATGATTTTATCTGCATAAGTATGTGATGTAAACACACAATGCTCTAAGCTGTACTAATTAAAATTATTTTCTAAGAAGTGACAGCTATTTTTTAAAATTGAGGGTTTTTTGTTTAAAATTTATAGAAATGTCTTTCTTTTTCTTCAGGTAAAGGAAGAAAAAAACAGATTTATACCACAGATAGTGATGAGATTTCACATATTGTTAATCGTATTGCTCCTCAGGTAAGTATCACTAGTTTTATAGTTTGTTTTAAAACAGTGAAGAATGTGCCACTAAGTTTTTGTAGTTTCTTTAAATGAAAAATATTGTCTTTTATAATTCTTTTTTCTAAAAATAAGGCAGCAAAGATTACTATTTTGCCTTTTCTACTTTTGAAATGCATATTTTGAAAAAAGGAACGTAATATAAAATATAAGATATTTTCTTAAGTATATATCTTGTTTTAATTTTTTAGAGTAATTTTTGACTAGGGCATTGTGTTTATCTGTAATGTTGTGCTTAACAACATACGGCATTCATTTTTCAAGTTGCTAAAATAATAGAATAAGGCAGTCAAAAAAATTTAAACTTTTAAGATTGTTTTGTGATTGGTATTTACTGTCTATAACGTTTCCCCATTGAAACTGTTCTTCTTAATACTCATTGACTTATAAGATTGTCAAGAAACACTTACAAAAGCGGAGAGCACTGAATTCAAATTTAGTCTTCTCCTTCAGCCTCCTGTGCTGTGTGACCCAATGCAAGTTATTTAAACTCTCACCACCTCAGTTCATTCAGCCGTGAACTAGAATTATTGTGTTCCTCTTGCTCTCTTCATTGGATCATTATGAGGATTAAACTAGATAAAAATTCTTTGTAAACTATAGAGTGCTATAATTGTAAGGTTATGTTAAAGTTGTTACCGTAATAGAACCATCTCCAAAGGTTTTTTTTTTTTTCTTGGCCAGGCATGGTGACTCACTCCTGTGATCTTAGCATTTTGGGAGGAAGGCTAAGGCCAGGAGAAAGGGGAAGATTGCTTGAGGCCAGGAGTTTAAGACCCCATCTCTGAAAAAAAAATTTTGAGTGTTTCATTTCTTTTTTTCATTTCTGTTCTTGTACTTTTGGAGTGAAATAGAAATATGTTCAAGTCAATCATTTGACACAAAGCAGTCCAATAACTCTAATATTACAATTACTAAGAAGCAAAGGCTTAATACATAAAGCTGTTCTGAACTTCTTTACTTTTTGTTCTCTTTTTCTTATTTAACAACATTTAAATCCAGAGAACGTTTTTGCTTAGTGTCTTCTCTAAAGGAAGTATGCCATTTTTCCTTAACATGCCCTTGAATAGTTACTATATGTTGACCATAAACAATAGATGGCACTGGCCCAAAACATGGTTTGAAGAATTACTGTCATTCAGGTGGAAGAGACAGGAAATGAAGTTTTTCTTAGCAGCTATAAAATATCCAAAATTACACCTAGCACAGTCAAAACAACTCTGTTGCTACTAGCTCTACATTCCATGTTTAGCATGTCATAGAAACTCATTTTACTTACAGTTCATTAGTTAAATAGCATTTATGCCATAATAATACTTACTCTATAAGTTAACAATAGATCTTCATTAATTGTGGGTTTCACATGAAAGAAGCATAATAAAATGTGTTTGGGCGGGCCAGTCTAAGTAGTGATAAAAAGATAGTTGTGAATAAATTATTGGACCCTTTACCTAACTGGGCTGGAAATAATAGCTCATATAAAGAAATGCCAACAGTATGCAAGTGATAACTTGTATAAAAAGAAAAAAAATAATGAAATTAGTAGCTTTAAAATGTTACCCTCTTAAACTGAGTACTTTTAAAGCATATAAATCTTCAGCAGTTTCAAGGTCTGCTTGAAAGCTTGTCATGTTCTCAGAATGACAAATATTTATATTGTTTATTTTTAGGTGAGTCATTCTCAAATCATTATTTAATTTTCTTTTAACGTTTTCAGAGATAGCATTTTTTTTTAAATACGAGGTTTTATTTTGATTGGACAGTCAGTTCACTTTCTGCAGGGATATTTTTTATACAGTGTTGTTTATTTGAAGATGGTATATATCTTCATTTATACAGCTTTGCACAGTATACCTTTTATAATGAAATGAAGTAATGCATTTAGATACCTTATACAGCACCTGGATTATGGTTGAAAATCAATAAATTATGTAATTATTCAGGAAGAAATATGTAATATGTACAAATAGTATACAAACATACATAGGACCAATGTATATGTAAAGTTGGGTATAGAAAGTCATAATTTAGTCCTCTGAAGATTGAATAAATTTAAAATTACTTTGGTAAATGGCAGAGTTCATAATTAAGACTATTATTTTCTTTAAATTCAAGATTGTTGAAATAAAAGGGAAAATATATATTGAGTCTGAAAGTGAAATTACTGATTTTCTTGAGTATTTGCAAAGCTAAAGGCAACTAGGTTCAAGTCGACACTAAGAAAACTTTTGATTCATTGAGGATTTGAAGTACCAAGTTGTAGGGATCTTTTCATCTAAATCTTCTAGTAAATAAATGTAAACTGACACTGTTATGCCCAGTATTGTGCTGAATGCTGAGTTATTCTAAGAAGAGTCCTTGCCTTTGAGTAGCCTATAATCTAGTAGTAATATTATTTTTTAACTTGTGCGATATTTATGTTCATTCTAGGTACTGTAAAATAGAGTGAAAATGGTTATTTGATTTGATGTGTTGGTTTGGTTTGCAATTAATGCCTGAAGCTCATTCTGTAATTTTTTTGTGTGATCAAGTGACTGAAAGGTACAGCAAAAATATCCAAGTCTAAAATGGCTTTTTTCTATATATTATCTGGGTAAACTTTTCTGCTTTCTCTATTTTTTTATTCTTATTCCTATCTCATTCTTAGTTCTAACCTTGCTCTTACCTCTTAATTCAGTCCTGACCTCAATTCTGAGTGTTCTCAATTTAGGTCAACATGGATTGTCCAACTTTAGATAAAGATTATAATAAGGATAAAGAAAATTTGGAGAAACAGATGATACAGAAAGTATAAGAATCTTAGGGCAATTAAAATGTCAATTTTCTTTTAATAAAAACGTGCTTCTGTTATCAAATGTACATTTGATAAATTTAATTCTTAAAACAATTTTTTTTTTTAAATAAGCAATTTGTAATTCTGAATGTTTTCATTCTCTAAAACAAGTGGATAAATTCTTGTAGCTTATTATTGCTATCTCCCAACTTCTTATTGTTTTTGAGTTTGTTTGGTAACTTACCTCACCAGAATTTAGGAAATTAATTCAAAGTAGTTTTTATTTTTTTA